TCGCGACCAGTTCGGCCAGAGTGGGCCTCCTGAAAATACATTGGTAGAGAGATTGTCAATCTAATACCAGAAACTGAGTCTTGATATCCCTGGAGGTTACCCCTCTTCCGAAGGTGATGATCAGCTCGACATACCCCCAGGGTTTGGTACTGGCCCCATTGAAGCCCTGGAGGTCTGAGCCCACGTATGGGGTCAGGTGGCTTTTATTCAGTTGTAGGGTAGAAAATAGTTAGGTGCACATGATGTCCACCGAGCTCCCATGATCGACCAGCATGTGCCTAACATCAAGGTTTTCCATGCGAGCTCTCATGAGCAGTAGGATAGTCGAGTTGAGGGCTTCGCCCGACAGTTCCTCCTTGTAGAAAGCGAGGGAATGAGAGCCTCTTCGGAACTTATCCAGCGAGGCATCCATGTCAGAGTTGGCTTTGATAAGTTGGTCGAATCTTATTTTTATGGATCCCACTGTATGCTTGTTGAATCCCTCACGGAGATGACCATCGCAGTAGGGAACGACTCCCAAGGACTGTGAGAGGATAAGTACAATGAGACATTCTCCATGTCTGGGAAGTAAAAATCTTCTGTTCGCGAGATACTCATGGCGACCAGTATATTGCTGATGTCGGGGGACTCCTTCCCCTCTTCGATGCTCTTGGTTTCTGGAGCCTCCTTGTGGGCACCCTCTTTCTTCTTGTACTGCTTGAGGTTCCCGTATCAGATTAGTATCTCGATCGCACCCTTGAGATGGACGCAATCGTCGATGTTGTGACCATGGCTTTTGTAGAACCTACAGTATTTGCTCTTGTCAGTTTCGGGCTTGGTAGGCGTCTGTCAGGGAAAGTGCACCCCATCCTGTTTGAATTCAGAGTTGGCACATTCATACAAAATACATTCCCTCTAAGTGGTCAGAGGGGTGTAGTCGTGAAATCGACAACAGACCCCTTATAATCTTTAGAGTCTCGAGATTTGTCCTCATGCTTCTTTTCTCCCCCCGACGGGCCGTCGATGACTCGTCACTTCTTGAGGATTTGGTACTTTCTCGGTGCCTTAACTCCCTGGCATTGTTGGCGAATTCTTTCTCCTCGTATTGAGTGTACGCTTGAGCCTTGAAGAGGAGGGAGTCGATTATGGCTGGTGATTCAATGCCCACTGCTTTTGCAAAGTCGCTTCGGGGACGGAGCCCGCGTTCAAGAAGGTACTTCTTCATGGTGTCAGACGTAGAGACATGTATTGCTTATTTATTGAAGCACTCGATATATGCTCATAGAGACTCATCTCTATCATGGATAATCGCTTCAAGTGAAGCCTCTGATTTTGGATGTCGACGGGAGACAGTGAAGTGCCTCAAGAACATCCTCCCCAACTGTTTCTAAGAGGTAATAGACTCGTCAGAGAGGCTTTTGTACCAAGACATGGCTCATTATCTCAGGATAGTAGGGAACAATATGCACTTGATGACGCCTCTGACCCCTCGGTAGTCGAGGAGGGCTTCGATATTCTCTATGTGTTTATCAGGATCAGTCGTATCGTCATACGTTCCTGGCAGGGGTGGCTTTTCTAGGTCGACTGGGAGCTGGGTCTCTGTAATATCTCTTGATAACAGGTCGTGGGGCTCGTCATCGTCTCTTTCCTAGGGGGATGAAGGCGGGGAGTGATAGTTCCTTCCCCGTTGGGCATCGTTGTCTTGTCGGGGGGAATGGCTCCTTCAGTGTTGTCTTGGTTTGGGCGGCGGTGATCGGTCGCGGTCAACTTGGTGGTTGCTCTTCTTCTTCTTGGAAGATGGAGAGCTTTGATCTATCTTGGGAGGTGTGTGGTTGCGTTTCTTGAGGAAAGAAACGTCGCACTTATACCTTCTTGGAGGACGGCCACGTCTAGGCAGGGATATGCTGGAGGAATCATGTCGTCGGTGTCTCTGAGGAGGAAACTTTGACCGCTTCTTCTCTCAGGCCCCTATCTTCTTGCTCTGCTGCAGGATAAGGGTGTTAGTTTGGTTGAGGGTAGCGAGCAATGCTGCAATGGCCGGGTCGGTATTATGAGGAACGGGAATTGGTAGTAGAATCTCTGAAAGTTCCTCGGTGGGGTTCTTGGGACGCCTCTCGTCCAAGAACTGATGGTCATCGTGTTGGGCGTAGATTGAATCTGGGGACGCAGTCTGGCTGTCACGGAAGCCGAGGTTATCCTCGAGGTGAGGATGTTCTTGATTTCCGCCGGTCTTATGCGCTGGGGAGAGCACAGTCTTTCCAAATAGGTGGTGACCATCATGGTCGGCCATGATTAATGAATGAGAAGGATCTTTGGTCTTCAGATTTCGGGGAAGAGAAAATGGGGAATGATAGATCTTTGGACGGGCTGGAAAGTCGCGGAGGAAAATGGGGGAGTTGTACCTGCAAGACACTCTGATGATCAAGTAAGTGTGGGAGCAAAAGAAATACAAGCAAAGTCTTAGGGTTTTAGTGATGAATAATGGATATTCGATACATGGCCCTCACATGTGTGAGGGTTTATATAATGCCCCCGACGCTTGGCCATTGATCCCTATTTTCAGGCCTAGATATGCGGGTCCTCAAAAATAGGTAATTGCCAAGACTCGGTCAAAACGGGCAGGTGTGCACGTAACTAGCCGTTGGATCCGAGGAGGAGGCGGATTACGGGTAGATGGTCGTTCTGGACGCTTCCTGGTCATCTGCTCGACTCGTGTCGGGTTGATGGGAGACAACTGGTGACTGGGTCAGGCGTGCGTGTCGGGCATCGCTGGTCGTGTGCCCAGGGGCATGGTCGACCAGGATGCTGGGCCACTGTTGTTGGGTCGTGCCAAGGGTGGAAGCGGATTGGGCTAATTCTAGTCATCGAGCCAATTCAAAACACCTTCCATGCCCTATCTACAATTATGCCCACATAGTAGTTTTCTCTCATGTCTTGAATAATATCACAAATCCTAATTGTCTCAGATGTTTGCATCTTCTTCACAACTTCCTTGGACACCCACCTAGAGTTTGTAGATCTATTATCCAAAACTCTAGCACATGTGTGGTTGTCTAATATTGTCTTTATATCATATGTGTGTTATGGCCCACCTTAGAGCATACCATTAAAAACCACATTTAACCCTGCATTCTACCCTTACCCTGTAATACTCATTTTTCACAAAAATTAATCCTCCTTCCATTTAATATTGACCACTCACGTATTGCCTCTCTAAAATCATCTAGGAAATTAAATTGCATACTCCACTTAAATTTAAAATTCTTATTCAATTGCTCTCTCCTAAAGTTATCAAACTTGGGCCCTTTATCATCATCAGAAACATCTAGATCATAGTGGTCTGGCTCATTACTTACATATTCATCATCTTCACATTTCTTCTTTGTGGAACAATTTAAAAACCTAGAAACTATGGGCCCTTTATTAATGGGTAGAGTGACATCAATATCATCAAACCCATCTGCAACAGCAGTGGTTCGTTCATCCTCACTATCACTGAACCTTTCAACTCCCTCATCATCACATTCATCCAACTCAACAACCTCATTTACACACTTAGGACTCCTTACTCTAACTTCAATATCAGTGATATCATGCTCCACAAACATCTTCCCATCTACTTGGGTCGCACAAGCGTATGCGGAGAAATCGTAACAGTCATCATTATTCTTAATGTTTTCATCTATTTTAAGAATTTTTGTCCTAGTTATGTATGTCCCTTCTATGTAACCCCACCCATTAACCAACTTATGAACCATAACCATTGACCACTTATCAATGTGTTGCCCAAAAACTACAGTCGAAACACCACCCCTGTATATGACAACCCCATCAATCAACCTTACAAATTCCCCTCCATGGTGAAATACAACATTGAAGACTTGCATGTTCTGAAATTACATATAACACAAACTTTACTCTAACAATCTTTGAGAAAACGATAAAGGAAGATGGAAAATGAATTGTGGCATTTGCGAAGCCTACACGTCTTCTTCGTCATGGTCCTTCGCTCCGTTGCTCTGTGACTTTTCAAGTTGTTTTGCTGCCTTCGTCTTTGTCTTCTCTGATTTCTTCGTCATCTTTGATTGCTATTTTTGGGACAATTGTGAACTCTAGATTTTCAAGGGGGAAATAAGAAAATGTTAATTTTGTAATTTCATCTTTCGTGAAATGTGGCAAATAAATATCCAGTCAGCAACATTTCAAATGCCACGTGGGACCAGTTTGTGGAATCTTCACCAAAATGTAGTATCAGAGTCTTATTGAAAAGAATATGGATAAGTTAAGGGTGGGATCACAAAAATAATTCTTATAGGAGAAAAATTAATACTCACTACAATAGCCGGAGATAACATATATTTAAGTCTAAAATTATAATTGCACAACTAAATTTTAAAGCATGTACGAAAACACTAAATTTTAGGTTTGATTCATTTAACGTATTTAGACAAACTCTTTTTAAAGTTTCAGCATTTGGTATCACAAACAATGTTGCCATTTCATTCCAAGGTGCATCTATTTGCTTTTACTTAGTTAAATTAATACTGAGCATAAAAGAAAAATAAACATACATATAAGATTCAAAACCGCAATCATTTCATCATAGTAATAATGATAATCAACCCCTGAACTATTTCATTAACTTGTCTTATCTGTGACCATATTCACGAAAATCAGAGTTATTCAGAGTTATTCAAAAAGTTATACTACTTACAGAAGAATAAGGCTAATTTTATGATGCATAAATAAGATATGACATTATACTATGCATAAGTTTGTTTTCCGGATGAATAAGACCAAAAGAATTTAAGTATTAGTGCATACCAAAATGTGCGTGAGCATCAAAAAATATACACACACAAACTATGACAGATGGGAGGGGTTAAATTGTGTTCGTCCTTGTTATAATTGTTATGATAACATCATTGGACACTGCGACACACCTATTCCAAGAGATGTCCGTATATCATAGGTCTCGGTCTCGACACTATAGTTGCTTCATGGCCTCAACCCTCTCGACACTATAGTTGCCTCATGGCCTCAACCCTCTGCCGTTCTATGGCACCCAAGGTCTTTGACAACATCATCACGTGCTCTTTGACGGCCAATATCTCCTCCTTGTCATTAATCTCTGCTAGATCAAGATACCTTTTTGTCTGCTGTGCCACTTGCTTTAGATATTCTATCCTCTGGTGCAGATCCTCCATAGCATTCTGGGAGATGCAATAAGCTTTTGTTCAATGTTTAAGCATTATAAAGCATATTAACATATAACAGATTAAACCTACAATAATGTACAATATACACTCAAACATATTATTCCACAATACAGATCATATAATAAACCATAAAAATTGAACAGAATTTTAGCAATGTGAAGATACCTCCTGTGAAGAAGGCTGAAGGAATTGAGCAAAAAGCGAAGATGAGGACGGAGGTAGATGGTCGAAGGAGTCGTCAGACCTAGATGAATAGTACATAAATAGTACATATTCCTAATTAGTATAAAGCATGGCAATTGACAACCATTACTCACTGTACCAACTTTAAAAACTACTAAAAACTTGAAAGAATTATCCAAGCAATAAAACATCAACTCAAATTGCTTATTTTGCAACTAACAGAAAGCAAATTTTAATATCAAAACTCTTAAGTTCTGTCCATTTTCTATTGAAAACTAGTGGAAGAATATGAAAATATCAAAACAACACCAGAAACTCGTCTATCACCAACCAGTTGTTAGAGACAATCGCTCAAAACAATCAAATCAACTAATTCAATGACAGTCCACTAAAGCCAGAACCCCAAACCCCCGGAATGCAAGAAAACTAGAAACTTACTTCAAATTGCACAATGCGGTGAATCTAAACTCAATCCCACCATAGTAATGTTCAACTAATATCTTGATATGACTTTTTTTGCTAAATTATCACAAGTCAAAAACAGATTTCCCCAAAAATAAAAGAACAGAAAATCTAATGCGAAGAAACAGAAGATTTTTGGTGGTGATGAAGAAAAATTAGGAATTGCAAATCCCTTTATTTTTTTACAACAAAACACTGTAAATGTTGAAGGAAATGATGAATTCATTAGATGTGGGCTTGCACGCATAGGCTAATTTTCAAATGCATTGGATCCTATTATCAAATAGTAAATACTCCCGATCAACAAAATAACTCAAGTTGCATAATAAGTTGTTCTATGACTAATCATTCAAGCATTGTCATCCTTAGGAAGCCCTCTCACTAGTTTACACTTCCTAGTTTTCAACATTGAACATCCCCTATCAGGAGGATGCAACTACCATGCAATCACATGAAGCCATTGTTTGGTTCATTAATATTGTTCCGGAATCCGGACAACATCAATAACAAAGAATTATCTTAGCTGCAAAGCTCCTATGAACTAACACTAATATAACTGGTACTACATGTAACTCAAATTAAGTGCTCACACAAATTTTTTAAGCTCGAAGCTAATACTTAATTTCAGTTCTGAAACTCCTATGAGCTAGAAGCTAATTCAAACTAGTATGACATTTAATTCAACACCTAAGAATTAATTTGTATTCCTTTCTTCTTCAACTTCCAAGAATTAGTGCCTGCTTCCTTTAACCTCATCAACCCTCCTTGACCACAAAATACAAATTTTTTTTCAAACCACAAATATTGCAATTTCAAGGAGTATTGATTCCATTATTCACAAAGATTCTAGCTTTTGCATTTCTTCAACATACAAGAATTAGTTATTTCTTCTCTTTTTTTCATCAACCTTCATTGACCTCAAAATAAAGTTTTATTTCAAACCACCATTAAATTTCTACAATTAGTACAAGCAATCCTATCACTTACCTCAAAAACAAACAACTTACTTTGGTCCTATTTGTATAATAATGTTTTGTGCAATTTGTTTCTCTACCCAAGAGACTAGTAATTTGTCGGCTAATTATTAGTTATAAAGAGGCCCATAGAAATGGAAACAGAAAAAGAAGCGGACAAACTAACTTTAAGAATCTCTGTTTTACCTTAAGCAGTCTATGATGTCAACATCTGCCGACGGCGAGTTCTGGAGCAAAAAGTTCAGCATTCCATCGGGAATGGGTGAAGATGGTTCAAATCCCGCTTTTAATGTTTTTTCTAAATTAACAATTTTCAATGCCATGGATAATCCATATGAAAGTGGTTTCAGCTTTACTTTCAACGACTTCAAGCTATGCAGGGAAGATATCTTAAGCTTCAAAAGATTAGGAATAAAGGAGAGAACCTATGCAGTAAGGGATAACTGTGGATTAGAATTAGTTTATTGCAATTATGAAACTCAGTTGATTTTTGACAAAAGTTAGAAACTAAAAAGTATCTTGAAAAGCAAATAAAAATTAGGCCTCAAAGCAATGTCGAATTAAGGTACCTGAAGAGTACTTGCAGAGACTGTCAATGATTTGACATTAGCGAGTTCTTGCAGCCAGCTAAGTAAAACAGCAGGAGGCTCCGAGTAATTTGCCAACATTTCCGCATCAATGTTTACTTGTTTAATAGAAGAAAGACTGCTTCCACAAAACATCTGATAAGGAGTACCCGTAAAAGTGAATGAACAAAGACTTGGAGCAGATAGCTTGATTCCGTAATTGTTGAAAGAATGACTACACACAGTTAAACTGACTAGCGTCTCACTTGATATGCACAAGATTTCGAAATCCTTCACCGTACAATTATCAATAATCAAATCATTCAACCGGTTAAAAGGTGAAAAAGGATCAATTCGGCCATCGTCATTAGCACTAAAGGAAAAATTTCCTAGATGCAAACTGGTTAACGCAGGTAAATTCAAAGATTTAGGAAAGATCGTTCTCCCGTAATTATGACAACCTTTAGGTGAAACAGAGAGATTAAGAGATGTTAAAGTATGACATGAAGAAATGCAAGGCAGAACGTGAGCAATATCACATTTGACATTGATTCGTAATCTAAATAGGTTGACATTATGGGATAAAACATAGCGTGCAAACCTTCCAAGTAGGCGAGACTCGATGCTACAATTATGAACAAAATCAACAGCATGCAGTACAATAGAGTTATCGCGAAGAGACAAAATTCTTGACACGAATTTATCGAAACTCTTCAAAGTAGAGAAATCTGAGGAATGCAATGTAAGAATGGGAATATATTTCCAAACATGGTTCCATCTTTTGGACAAAATGGAAGTTTGAACAGAATCTTTGGTGTTCAAAAATGATAAAATGTGAATGAGAATTGAATCAGACAAGTCACTTAGTTTGTCAAGATCATTCATTCTTCTCTTCTTGATCAGATAAAACCTAAAGAAAAAAAAATGAAATGAAATTGTGCAATGTAACAGAACAAGAAGTAGCTGAAAAATTCTACACCTGGGAATGAGAAATAGTACCAAGAGGGTAGTGTGGACGTGCGTTGAATCAGAAGCTGTGTCTTTTATTTTTCACAGTAAAAATTGTTGAGCGAGGGAGAGAGCCAGATAGGTAGCGAGCGAGCGAGAGAACGTTCTATTTTCAATTCTTTGGGTTTTTCTTTTGGTGTAAGAATGTTCTTCTTTTCTACTTAAGATAAAGTTTAAGGTAAATTTAGCGTTAAGTAAAACTTTAAGGTCTCTTTGAACTCATTAGAGTTACTAAAAAAATTTTAAAGGCTTTTAATTGATGGCGATTAGGGGAGGATTTAACTTGTCATCCCTAATTATATTTGGTATCTCTCAAAGAGTATGAAAAAACCATAATAATTCAATACAAGTTTTTTTACTATTTTGCGAAATTTATCATTGAGAATCGAAAATTTCAAAAATTCAGAGATGATAATTTGGCTCATACTCTATGGGTACCTGCAAAAAATGTTCATGATGAGTAGGATAAAAACACGTAGAATAGATACGAATACGAGCATGTGTAATTATCCATTAAAATAAGCGGGTATGTGTGCGGGTAAGAGTATCTTACTACCCACCCACCTCATATCTGCACTATATATTTATATAATATCATTTATATTATTATATAAAATTCACGTTTATCAACTTTTAAAATATATATCGCTATTAAATCATCACACATTTTAATAAAAGTCTTTATTTATTTCTTACCTCAACAGTAACATCCATAATTTTTTAATATTGTTAAAAAAAACTTAAATTATATGATATTTTGTAATTAATTGATTTAATTTTACTACAAACGCGAGTAAACGGTACAAGTATGGGTAATGAGGTACCCATAGAGTACGGGTACAAATATGAACATTAGTGCTCACACGGGTTTGGGGTCGAGTACGAGGGGTTTTTCAAACTGCAAATATGGGGACGGGTATTATAGTATCCAGCACAAACCCTATCCATTGTCATCCCTAAAAATTCAGGGCGATACCAGAAATTGTTCCATAAAAAGTAAGAATTTCACGAAAATTTCAACATTTTCGGGAGAAATTCACAGAAGTTTCATGATTTTCCGGGAGAAACTCACTGAAATTTCTTACCGCAAATTTCAGAAACTCTAATACTTTTGTATTATAATTTATCGGAAATTTCAAAAATTCTGATTGTTCATAATTTTTTGAAAAATTCCAGAAATTTTGAAATTTCTGGTAGTTCATTTTTTAACTAATTTTTTTTGGTCATTTTTTCATTTTTTTTCTCTAGTGAAGAGCAGAGGTAGGGACGATTTCATTGGGGGTATGTTAACTGATAGAGCAAAAGCTCGGGCCAGGTCTGATGAGGCAAGGATTCCCAGCTACGGGCTAGACGACATGATCTGACCGATTTTCACTAGAAATAGATGGTTGAGCAAGCGCAGGGCCAGTTCTGTGCACCTCGACGCTGAGCTGATAAAGTCTCTACTATTATGGAGGTACATGTTCATGTGGAGGTACTTGTTGCTATAAGGTAACTCTTGAGGAGGTTGCTATCGAGGAGGTTGTTGTTGAGGAGGTTCATGTGCCAGCTGAGCAGGTTCTTGATGCTGATGAGGTGTCTCCCACTGATACAGACCACTGCTCATGCTTTTACAGAGCCATCTGTTCACACAGATGGAGTTTTTCCTGGAGGACCTAGTGATCGATTTGTGCTCACAGGGTATAATGACCATGTCACATACAGAGTATGGCAGGATGAGGTGTAAATGTTATATTTTTTATTGCAGATTATTTATTATGGCTCGGTTAAGTGTTGAATGTAACACCCTCTAAAACCCCGAATAAATTTTCGCAAATATTAAAATCATAATTTCAGAGTACATGTATAATCGAGGATGCTACAATTCTCTTTTAATAAAACAAATTCCTGTCATGCATAACGTAGTAGTAACTCATACATGTTCACACAGCGGAATAATTCAATTAATAAAATCAATGTTATAATATTTTCAAAATCATCAGGGATTAACACCTGGAAAATGTCAACGTCATATTATAACAAAACATAAGGAATTAAACGAGTCTGATTAAAACAGCTCGACAAACAAACGTTCCCGGAGTTACAACTATCAGAGCATGACCCGGACAATACTAAAACGAAAATAAACTAGAAACGACGAGCCTTCGCCAAGCACCTGAACGAAGCTCCTCAATCTGAAATATTCAACAGTAAGGGTGAGCATCTCAATTATACATTTGATTATACGTTCATAACAACCAATTCAGGAACCATAAGCATCACCCAACAATTAGCATATTTCATAGTTTACAAAAAATCTTTACAATTCATATACCCATATATATTATTTTTCATATTTGCAATTAACATCAAATATCGTCAACAATTTAGCAACCATACGTGCCTACAAACAATCAAATACAACATTGGAAAAATCATCCATTCATGTTATATTCAAGGTAATGCAACACACCCATGCATGTGGTACCACTTCACCGCCCCATTAAATCTCGGGTCACGGATAACTCACCGTTCCATTATATCGCGGACACGGCTACCACCTCAACGTTCCATTAAATCGCGGACACGTATATTGGCCACCATGTTAATTCCACACAATGGGAATTAACAAATACAACATGATATGTACAGTATGTAACACTCAGCATACTATTAACATCAATAAACCATATCATGTAACATTAACAATATCAAATACAACATGATATGAATAGCATGTAATCACTCAGCATACTATTAAACATCAATCATATCAAGTCATATCATAATTCATGCTCGATAACATTATCCAAAAGCATGGCAATAAAATCCACAATCAAGCACTGAAAACAAAGTTCAGAAAATCAACACAGTAGCATCAACACGGGTGCCCGTGTTGTGCAACACGGCCCGTGTTGTAACATATCCAGAAAAAAAAAAACACATTATCCTTATCAATACAGGGGGATCAACACGGGTGCCCGTGTTGTGCAACACGGCCCGTGTTGTAATGTGTCCAGAAAACACATTACTTTTACCAACACAGAAGAGCAACACGGGTGCCCGTGTTGTGCAACACGGCCCGTGTTGCTGAGCGCGTACAGAATTTTCCTATACCTGCAGCAGCTCAGAATAGCAGCCAAACGCGGAAAAATGCCAGCTAAACGCGCATTTCGGTACCTAACGACATCGAGTTTGTATAATTCAAAACAACACCTCAATTTCCTAATTACCAACAATCATTATAGTAACCTTAGAAGTGATTAGTCGTTCATTTTGGGGAAATCTGCTAACATTGGGGTTATCCCTATAACTTCTAAGGTAAATTCACGATCATGCAGATATACTTCCAATCCACCATTAGGAACCTAAAATCGTTAATTGATTTCATAAAATTGAGAACCTAAACCCTCTTTAACAAAGTTCAATCCTAAGGGTATCGATCCCTAATAACATCTAACAATTGGGGTTTTTCCCTACGATTACCCAAATCAACCGTACATAAACCCATAAACAAAGGTAAATCGAGTAATAGCCCCCCTTACCTTATCAATTAGCAGCTTGAGTTCTTGAGCGATGTTCTTCGTTCTTCTCACCTTCAGAGCTCTATTTCCTCAATAACTCCCAAATCTGTTTATCGTGAAAAAATGAGAAAAATAACTTGAGTTCCAAAACATATCCTTACTTCTTTTTCACCCCCACTCTTTACTAACAACATCCAAGCCCAATAACTTAAAAACTCAGCATTTTCTTATTTCTTTTATTTTCCTCCATATTTCAAAATAAATAATTCCTTTTTATTTTATTAATTCTAATAAAATAATTTCCCAAATTTAAATAAATCAAATAATTGAAACTGGGGTGTTACAACTCTCCCCCACTAAAAGAGTTTTCGTCCTCGAAAACATACCTTAGACGAACAGTTCCGGATAAGCCTCTTTCATTTGGCTCTCCAGCTCCCAAGTGATATTTCCATCTGCTGGACCTCCCCAAGCAACCTTCACTAATGCTATCTCTTTACCTCTTAACTGTTTCACTTCCCGATCTTCTATCCTCATAGGCAATGTTTCTACTGTCAGGTTATCTCTCACTTGTACATCATCTATTTGGATTACATGAGATGGGTCTGGAATGTATCTCCTCAACTGAGAAACATGAAAAACATCGTGCAAATTCGCAAGTCTCGGAGGTAAAGCAATACGATAAGCAACTTCTCCAACTCTTTCCGTAATCTGAAACGGACCAATAAAACGCGGAGTCAACTTCTTAGATTTCAACGCTCGACCAATACCCGTCATCGGAGTAACTCTCATAAACACATGATCTCCAGCACTGAATTCTAAATTCTTTCTCCTCTTATCATGATAACTTTTCTGACGACTCTGAGAAGCTCTCATCTTCTCTTGAATCAATTTGATCTTTTCAGTAGTCTGCTGAACAATCTCTGGCCCAATTACCGAACTCTCTCCAGATTCATACCAACACAGAGGTGTTCTACACCGTCTACCATACAATGCCTCGAACAGAGTCATACCAATACTCGAATGGTAACTATTGTTATAAGTAAATTCAATCAATGGCAAATAGCTATCCCAAGCTCCACCCTTCTCTAAAACACAAGCACGCAACAAATCTTCTAACGATTGAATCGTCCTCTCCGTCTGTCCATCAGTCTGAGGATGGTAAGCTGAACTCAACCTCAATTTAGTACCCAAAGCTTTCTGCAATCCTTCCCAAAATTTCGAAGTGAATCTCGGATCTCTATCCGACACAATACTAGAAGGAACTCCATGCAAACTCACTATTTTCTCAATATATAACTGTGCCAATCTCTCCATTGAGTAATCCATTCGCACCGGTATAAAATGAGCAGACTTAGTCAGTCTATCCACAACGAC